GGTGCTGCACTTTTGGGGGCCTCTGCCTGATTGTGCGGTAGGCTTTAACTGCTTTAACGCTTCTGTGTTGTAGGTTGACGCCAGCGGCTCCTTTCCTATAACGAGCACTCACTGAGAGTGGATGAGTACTGTCCACGCATCCCTTGCTCACTGGGAGTTTATAGGCCAATGAGGGGTACAACTGCTGGGGGTTACAGAACACACCGGGGATGTTAGGGCAGGGAAGAGGCTCTGGGCCAGCTTCCTCCTGGAAAGGGACTGTTGGGCAGGGTCTGCAGTGATAAGGGTCTGGCCAGTTCGAGTGTTGGGTGGGGCCGGGATGCTGCCACTTCTCATCCCCAGAGCCGTGGTGGTCATTAATAATCCATTACAGCATTAATTTTTCTGCTGAGCTCAGTAGGATAGTTTCAGCATCTTTCTCAACACAGGACTATAGGCAGCCGCTACTGATTTGTTGATTTGACACACAGATGAGACTATTTGCTGTTCCTGGCCTGAGGCTTCTTTGCAAGGCTTCTCCAGGCTACCGTGGGTACCTGATCAGAATAGAACTGGGACTTCGGGAGGCAGCTGCGGGAGTATGAGCCTGCTGATGGTAAAGTTTTACTAACCATCTCTCTGTCGTCCCACATCACCTGTTAACAGTGTGGGCGGCACAGCATGCACCTGCCAGCCCCGTGCTCCTGCAGCCAGCATCTGGAGATTTGAGGTTGGCGTCTTCCTTGCAGTTGAGAGTGGTCACACTGATGGCTTAGGGGCAGGCCTGAGTCACAGCATTAAAAATGATAAATTCCTCATGTTGTACTTCAGTGGGATGGCTCTTCAAAGCAGTGTTTGTGTAAAGACCCTGTTGTGTATGGAGAAAAAGGGGCCTGCTGGCTAAGCAGCAGATTGAGAAAACCCTGGGTGCCCTTTGGTCCTGGCTGTGCCACTGATGTTTGGCCTCTAATTGTGGCTTCAGGTGAATCACTAACCTTACTTCTGAGCACGTGTAAGTGAAAATACACCTCCCCCACCTCGTTTGTTATGATGTCTTGGGAAAATTTGTTTTTAGCAAAAAGTGCTGGCAGCCTGGAAGCAAATTGGAACCTCCGCCAGATATTTATACAAAAAACGAGAGGTTAAAGGTGGTTTTTAGCTGTACAGTGTTTCTTTCAGTCTCTTAGTCCAAATAAGTAGTCTCCTTGTTGGGAACTTACCAGTTAATGAGAGCGCTTCGTGGTAAATGATTTTAAATTGGCAGCTGCTCTCGTGTGCCGAGCTTGGAGAGGTTCTGTTCCCATTCTTTGAACAAAAATCAGCTGTGGTCTCTGACCTATTTTTGTAAGGTAAACTCAACCTTGCCGAGCGTGAAACAGCTTGGGAAAGCAATACCCTTTCCCTGGCCCTGGGCGTGGCGGGGGCACATCCTCCCTCGCTTGGAAAAGGCTTCTTCCCCCAGTTCTTCTGGAGTGTTCTCACATCAGCTAACATATTAGTTGCAGTTGTACTTTGCACAGACACTAATTAGAGAGCCATCAACATTGGGGTCCAAAGGCTTTCTGACAATGCAGCGGTCATAGTTGTGTCTTAACTGGTTGAGTGTAATTGTCATTAGGCAGCAAGAAAGACGTCTGGAGCTCCAGAGAAATCTCAGCCTGTTTCCACCTCCATCCAGTGTCTTGTCTCGCTGCTGCTGGCCACTGTTGTTAAGTGCTTGTGGATCACATTCAGGGTTTGGTGCAGGTCCCTCTGCTTCAACCGATGTTGCATCCTCATGCAAACGTCTGTTTCTTAGCTAAGTCCATGAGCTCTGAGTCTGACTCCCGTTGCGGTAGTGCTTTCACCTGGGGTGGATTTCAGAGTCTGCTGCTAAGGCACTGAGCACCTGCTGAAATGCTGAAATTGGGTGTGTTTCTCTGTCCTCACCAATAAAGGAGACGTGGAGTCTCCTATTTTTCCTCTTCAGTCATTTTGCAGCACAACGTTTCTGTGATTATCATGCTCTTAGATCATGACGAACAGAGTAAGTTTCCATAGGTATCTATGGAAAATTAATTGTGCTCATCTTGTGTTTTCAGAGTTTTAAAATTATTTGAGAGTCAAAGATAGAGAGGGTGATCCATCTCATCTGCCAGTTCACACCCCACATGTCCACAATGCAAGGGATGGTCCTGGACTAAAGCAAGGTCTGGGCCAAAGCCAGTTCTCTGTCAGGAACTTAACCCAGGTCTCCCGGGTGAGTGGGAAGAACGCGGTCACTGAGCTGTCACTACTGCTTTCCAGAGTCTGCACTAGAAGGGAGCTGGAGTCAGGAGCTGGAGATGCGGGTCTTGAAGCAGGCACGCTGGACGTGGAGCATAGGCATCTTCACTGTCAGGCTAAACGCATACCTCTCAACCCATGTTCTGTGCAAGAAATTCATCTATATGGGTCTTCATGTGGGTGGTAGGAACCCAAGCACTCTGGCCATTTGCTGCTGCCTTCCAGGTGTATCAGCAGGAAGCTGGATCAATGTGGAGAAGCTGGGACTCAAACCAGGCACTCCAGTATGGAATGTGGGCATCCCAAGTAGCGGCTTAACCTGCTGTGCCACAGCGCCCCTCCCTGGAGCTGTATTTCAGTCCTTTTGGAAATACGTGCTAGAAGTCCACTGTCTGTGTTCTGGGTGTTTGGCTCAGCATTGGCACTGGAAGTTGGGTAGTAGAGATCAAAAGGGAAGCTGTTCCTACCCACCAGGGTGTTACTGGTGGACACCCCATTTCAGTCACCAGTTACTGATTTGGTTTTAGCTACACGTAACATGTTTTGACAGGGTCTTCTTGAAGACCTCACAGTTGAGTTGAGCTAGGAGGTACACGTAAGGAATGTAACAGTGAGTATTCTTCCTTAACATGAAGGGCATGTAGTTGAGGCAGAGGAGGCTTTGTGGAGGAGAGGAGACCTGGGCTAGACATAGGTGCTTGGTGGGACTGGGTGGGAACTGGTTCTCAGTTTTGGAGGCAAATGGGAAACACTGAATCCTACCTCCATCTCCAGCTAGTCAGGAGTTGCATTCTGAGAGAAACAGCTTAAAAGGCTCATGGGGGGCCGGCACTGTGGCATAGCAAGTAAAGCCACCATCTGCAGTGTTGGCACCCCATATGGGCGCCAGTTCGAGTCCCAGCTGCTCCACTTCTGATCCAGCTCTGCTATGGCCTGGGAAGGCAGTAGAAGATGGCCCAAGTTCTTGGGCTCCTGCACCTGTGTCGAGGACCCGGAAGAGGCTCCTGGCTCCTGGCTTTGGATCAGCACACCTCCAGCCATTACAACCAATTGGGGAGTAAGCCAGCAGATGGAAGACATCTCTCTCTCTCTCTCTCTCTCTCCTTCTTTCCAATAAATAAGGCTCATCAGGAACCTTTTAAATATTAATAGAGCATGATTCTCCTTGAGATCCCTGCATGCTGCTATACTTTTTCTTTAACTTTTCCCTCCGGGTTTCTCTACGACATTGTCATCCTTCTCGTCTTTCTTTCCTGAATTGGCTGGTTCCTTCGTGCAGAGCTTCATAGTCCAATGACAGACATTCTAGAAATTCAAGGGACTCTGTAGCTGAGCACGTGGCCTTCCTGCAGAGAGCGGCCCGGCGGTGTTGGACTACGCTCCTGAGCAGGGTGCCTCATTCAGCAGGACGGTCGGATTGCTGCCTAGGAGCCGGTGGCTGTGCTTTGGCCAGGGCCATGTCAGTACCTGCCTCATCCCTGGCCGGGGCCATGTCAGTACCTGCCTTGTCGCCTGGCCTCAGGGCCCTCCTGCTGTGACTTTTTGTCTGCAGAGGAGCAGCGGTCACCCAGCCGCAGCATCTAGTTCTAGAAAGCACGTGTCCTGTGTGGCTCTGTATGCCACATGCATGTTCTCAGGGTGCCGTCCTGCAGGTACAGAGCCGGTTTCTCCAACCTGGGGAATTGCTGTGACCACAGAGTGACCTGTGGGTTACTGAAAACTCGTGTGTTCAGTATGCATTAATACCTTGGGGAAAATGCAGTTACCTTTAGTAAATGCAGCACTTCTGAATGTGTCTTCCTGATTTCTTCACTAGGAAATCTCACCTGAGGTTCGGCGTCTGTAGGAGCTTCATCAGTGTGTCGTGTCCTAGATGAACTAGGTCTCAGGGTGTGTTTGACTCTGCAGAGAACCCTGGAGGAGTAGTGGTTGGAGCTGCAGGAAGACTGTGTCTGCCTCCGCGTTCCTGAGGCTCTCAGGACTAGGTGCTTTACAAGTGAAGTCCAGGCCTCTGCTGTGGCCTCGGGCACTTGTACACCTCCGTGGTGGGCAGCGTCCCAGCTTGTCATCTGGTCCTGTCTCACCCACGGGGCCTGGGTCTGAGCCGTCTGACCCTGCCTGGGCTTCAGGGGCATCATTTATTGGAGTGACTGCGTGACAGCAGAGGGAGTGCTGCTGTTTCTGCCTGGGCAGAGCTGGGAGGGTCCTGCATTCAGTAAGAGCTTTTCATGAGAAGGCAGCGCTGTCTGACTGCTAAAGGCAAAACCTAATTGTTTCAGCACGTCAAGTAGTCCTTAGGGACTTTCATCAGTCAAATCTGATTCATGGATGAGGTATGAGAAAGCTTGCGCCTCTAGCACACTCACTTCTTAGTGTGTGCAGCGTCTCTCCCTCAGTCCCTCCTCTGTGTAAATCCTGTGGCTCATACAGATTTCTGCTGGTGAGTCCTGTGGTAGGAGAACTTAAGGCAGCAGATTGGTTATGAAAGTGTGAAAGGAACAACAAGGAAATCTCGATACTGGATTTCTTATTCTAGTTTCTCACTTGACACAGGCACCATTGTGCTGTGAGAACGGGAAGCATGTTCGCAGCCTTCTGTCATTGCGTTGACGTTTCTTCCAGCCGGAGCTACTGTCCACCCAGAGCCGCAGGCGCGCTCCCAGGCCCACCAAATCTTGTTCCCCTGTTGTGTTTTATGCCTCTTTCTGTTTTCCTTTCAATCCCTTTTTGGAACGGAGTGTGTCCTTCTCTTCCAGATACACATCAGGGGATGTGAGGGTGTGGGACACCCGCACCTGGGACTATGTCGCCCCCTTCCTGGAGTCGGAGTTTGAGGAGGACGAGCCTGGAATGCAGCCATATGTCTCCTTTGTGAGGATAAACAGCTCGCTGGCGGTAGCAGCTTATGAGGATGGTGAGTAACTGCAACCTCCTCCCTATTAAGGGAAGAAAGCTTTACAGAAATGAAGCAGCTGTGGCCAGCTCCCCCTGTAATCCCTCCTCTCACCCATGTGGGCACACACATGCTCACACATGTGTGCACACACATGCTCTCTTGCCTTTATGTGTAGAAGTTGGTCAGTCACCTTCAGTGCATTAGTAGGCACAGGAACACAGCACCTATTAAAACTGGGATTTAATTCCTGCTGGAACTGTCAGTCTGGGTGTTAGTGCCAGACAGGAGGCTAGCCAAGCCATCTTAAGCAAATAACTTGTTTGGTGTAAAATATTACATATACTTGGCCTGCTTTTCCTTGAGTCTCTTCTCAGTCCAGAGAGAATGGTGGAAAGGGGAGAGACACAGATAATCTATGGAAAATTGACATAGAAACATAAAGTCAGTGCCTACCTTCTCCTGGCACCAGCATTCCACTGGGAGCGTTGATGGTAGTGTGTTATCTCTCTGGTCCCCATAAAATTCTTTGTGCGGGAACAGCTGTGGACTTAGAGCAGAACAGTCTCAAATCGGCTTGACCTAAGTAATGACACACTTGGTAGATTATAGCTAACAGGAGTAATGACGGCTGTGGCCATCCAGCCCATGCACCTGCCTCTTGTGCTCCCAGCCTCCTTTAGGGTGTCAAGTTTGAGTCTCCACTCACCTGAAAGTTGGGGTGCTGCATTTCAGAAGGTTCACATTCATGCCGTGGCCCCTTTGCAAATCTTTATTCAGTGGAACATTATCACTTGGCTCAGGGGGACAAAACTACAGTGAAGTAGCCACTGGGGAATTTGTGCCTATATTCCATTTAAAAATTAGAGCTGAATCTTGAAAACATCTTTATTAGATTGACAATGTGAATGGTTTGATTGCCAGTAGATTCCATTGATGGCTTATTTTCTTTTAAGCCTATAGAAATTTGGTTGGGCTGTTTTCTGTGGTATAATTATTATTTATTTTTTCTTTTTTAAAATTTTTTTTTTGACAGGCAGAGTGGACAGTGAGAGAGAGAGACAGAGAGAAAGGTCTTCCTTTGCCGTTCGTTCACCCTCCAATGGCCGCCACGGCCGGCGCGCTGCGGCCGGTGCACTGCGGCCGGTGCACTGCGCTGATCCGATGGCAGGAGCCAGGTACTTATCCTGGTCTCCCATGGGGTGCAGGGCCCAAGCACTTGGGCCATCCTCCACTGCACTCCCTGGCCACAGCAGAGAGCTGGCCTGGAAGAGGGACAACCGGGACAGAATCCGGTGCCCCGACCGGGACTAGAACCCGGTGTGCCGGCGCCGCTTGGCGGAGGATTAGCCTAGTGAGCCATGGTGCTGGCCAGTATAATTATTATTAATATTTCATTTGTGTTTGTGGAGATTCTAGATAGATTTTTTTTTTCCAAAATGCAAAGGTAGCAGTACTTTTAAGTCAGCATCATATAATTTTAGAATCATCTAATGGCCTCCCCTGCTATATACACACATGAATGTACACACACATATTCTACCAGTGGGAAAACAGGTCCTAGAAAGCCAACCAAGTACTCTGCTTTAGGTCGAAGTCCGTGGTGAGCCAGTATGATCGTGTGTCCTGGGCCATGCTGTTTGTGTAGTTCTCAGCACAAGAAATGTGAGCCCAGGGGCCAGCATTGTAGTGTAGCAGGTAAAGCTGCTGCCTGGGGTAGTCAGCATCCCATATGGGCACCAGTTTGTGTCCTGCCTGCTCTACTTCTGATCTAGCTCCCTGCTAATGGCCTAGGAAAAACAGCAGAAAATGGCCCAAGTGTTTTGACCCCTCCTACCCACATTGGAGACCTAGATGAAGCTCCTGGCTATGGTTTGGACCAGCCCTGGCCATTGCAGCCATCTGGGGAGCAAACCAGTAGATGGAAGATCTCTGTGTCCCTCTCTTTCTCTAACTCTTCGAAGAGAATAAATAAATCTTTCTTAAAAAAAAAAAAAAAAAAAGCGAGCTTGATTTATTTGCGCACCATGTCTCATATCCCGTGAGCTTAAAGATTCAGCCTGAAGGAGATTTCTTCGCTGTTGTTGCACAGAAACGTTGGGAGCCGTGTAGACATGAAGAGTCTCTTTTCACTGGAAAATACTTGGAAATGGTTGCCAAAATATATTTTAAATACTTGAGTTCAAAAATTACATTTAAAATTCAAACAGAGCAAAACCATATGTAAAGCACAAACGAAAACATATTGGAAGCCAGTGTTGTGGTTCAACATTAAGTCTCCACTTGGGTTTCCTGCATCCCATATCAGAGTGTTGGCTTGAATGTTCTGGTTCCAGTTGAGCTCCCTGCTGATGTGCCCAGGAGGCAGCAGATGATGTCTCAAGTACTTGAGTTCCTGCCACCCACGTGGGAGAACTCGATGGAGTTCCTGGCTCCTGGTGTTAGCTGGACCTAGCCCTGTGAGAAGTGAATCAGCAGATGGAAGATCTCTTCCTCTGTCTGTTCCATCTCTCTGTCATTCTGCCTTTAAAATGAATCAACAACAACAAGTGTCAGAGTTGCATGGCTGTTTCTTATATATTTTTTTAAAAGATTCATTTATTTGAAAGTCAGTGTTCTACAGAGAGAGAAGGAGAAACGGGGGTGGGGGTGTCTTCCATCCACTGGTTTACTCCCTAATTGGCGGAAATGCCCAGAGCTGTGCCGATCTGAGGCCAGGAGCCAGGGGCCTCTTCCAGGTCTCCCACGCGGGTGCAGGGGCCTAAGGACATACACCATCTTCTACTGCTTTCCCAGGCGATAGCAGAGAGCTGGATGGGAAGTGGAGCAGCCGGGACTCAAGCAGGCGCCCATATGGGATGCCGGCACTACAGGCAGTGGCTTTACCCACTACACCACAGTGCCAGCCCGTGCGTGGCTGTTTCTGTGCTTCTATTTCCTCTGATTCTGCATGAAGGCCCTGTGCTATGTGAATTTGTTTCCATTGTGTTTTCAGTTGTCTTTTTTTTTTTCCCCTCTGCAAATTGCTTGTCCCTGTCTGTCCTCATTTTTCTTTTGCTTGTTATTGTTTCCAGTTGAAAAGGGCTCAGGAAATAACCTTTGTCATATGTGTTTCATATAGCTTACACTTTGTCATTCTTCAGTGAACCGTGAGTGTTCCCGGATGTAAGGGATATGTGTATGCAAGGGAGATTTTAATTTTTTTTAAATTTATTTTATTTGAAAGACAGAGTTACAGAGAGAGGTAGAAACAGAGAGAGAGGTCTTCCATCTGCTGGTTTACTCCCCAGATGGCCGCAACAGCTGGAGTTGTGCTGATCTGAAGCCTGGAGCCAGGAGCTTCTTCCAGGTCTCTCACGTGGGTGCAGGGGCCCAAGGACTTGGGCCATTTTCTTTTGCTTTCCCAGGCCATAGCAAAGAGTTGGATCAGAAGAGGGGCAGCCAGGACTAGAACCGGTGCCCATATGGGATGCCGGCGCTTCAGGCCAGGGCTTTTAGCCCACTGCGCCACAGTGCCGGCCCCAGGAGATTTTAATTTTTCAATCCACAAGTGAGTGGGTTTTATTTTGTAATTTAATATTTTTGACTAAGTAATGCGTTTTTAGAGTTCAGATATTAAAATTGTATTAACAGTTCTACCTTGATAAGTTTTACTTCCACTCACTTTTGTTTATCCTGTTTAAAGATTTATTTATTTGAAAGTCATAGAGAAGTAGGGACAGATCTTCGAATTGCCAGTTCACTCCCCAAGTGGCTATAACAGCCGGGCTGAGCCAGGCCAAACCAGGAGCGTCATCTGGGTCTCCCACATGGCTGGCAGGAGCCCAGGCACTTGAGCCATACTCTGCTGCTTTCCCAGGCTATTAGCAGGGAGCTGGATCAGAAATGGAGCAGCTGGGACATGAACTGGCGCTTGTATAGGGCGCCGGTGTTGCGGACAGTGGCTTTACCTGCTACGCCGTGATGCCAGCCCTTCTCTACCCTGTTCTAGAGTAACTGGATGTTTACTTTGTTTTATAACTTTCCAATATTTGATATTAGCAATCCAAGCAACTAGGCTTATCAGTTCTTATTCTTCTCCCTTTTTACATGAAAGGCTGCAAACAACATTATGTAACGTTCTGTGTCTTGGCCCTTGTCACTTAGTGACACATCTTGAAAGAAGTGTTGCTGTGTAGAGAGCAGGCCCTCCCTTTGCACACCTGCGCAGTGTTCCCTCGCGTGCAAGCTCCGTGGCCTGGTGAAGAGCAGCTGCATGGTATCTGGTCTTAGCTGTGACAGATAGTGTTGGAACACACATGTTTCGTGAGTGCAGGGGAAGGATTTCCAGGTCAGAGGGTATATGCAAATGGGCGTGTATACTGTTTGGCAGTCTTACCCACAAGGTATCAGGATATGTCCATTTCCTCACAGTTTAACCAGCACAAAGTATGTTTTGAACTTTTGAGTGTTTTCAGTTTAATAGATAGGAAATATCTGAGTGTAGGTTTTTTGTTTTTTTTGTTTTTTTTTTTTTTTTTTTTTTTTTTGGGACAGGTAGAGTTATAGACAGAGATAGAAAGAAAGGTCTTCCTTTCGTTGATTAACTCCCCAAATGGCCACTACGGCCGGCACATTGTGCCGATTCAAAGCCAGGAGCCAGGTGCTTCTTCCTGGTTTCCCATGTGGGTGCAGGGCCCAAGCACTTGGGCCATCCTCCACTGCACTCCCGGGCCACAGCAGAGAGCTGGCCTAGAAGAGGAGCAACCGGGACTAGAACCTGGCGCCCATATGGGATGCCGGCTCCACAGGCGGAGGATTAACCAAGTGAGCCACGGTGCTGGCCCCTGAGTGTAGTTTTAATATGTATTTCTGTTAGTGTGAAAGTGGTTGATTTTTTTTCCATATGCATGCTTGCCTGTAGATCTTTCTTTTTCTGTTACTGTCCTGGCTTATTTCTTTATATTTAAGTCTTGGTCAGGATAGAGTTGATCCTTAGTATGAGTTTTGAATCCCACTATATCTTTTTTTCCAATGTCTCT